ATGGGGGTCCAGCAACATAGTTATTACCCCAACTGCTGGTCCCTAGTGGCTTGCTTTCTCACTCTCCCTCTCTTCCTCTGTCTCTCTCTGGTCAAATTGAATAATAATAATAATAATAATAATAATAAATTAAATGAAATAAATCTTAAAATAAAGAAAAAAATCTTCACCCCAGAAGGACCAGCAGATCGTGTAATGGTTATATCTGTTGACTTCCACATAGTGGACCACTGTTCGAGTCCCAGACCTGGTGCCTTAAAATTCACTCTGGGTGCGTGTACATCCGTGCCCAAAATCCCAAGAGGAGAATGGAAGAGAAGGGATTATGGCATGACTATTTCCCTTGGGTGACTTCTGCCTCTCTGTCTCTCTGGCAAGTGCATGTGTGCTATAGCAAAAATCTCTCTCTAAAAAATTTAATAAAACAAGAAAACTCCCGGCCCTGGGTAGGTGTGCATGCATGCCCAAAATCCCAAGAGGAGAATGGCAAAGGGATTGTGTGGCCATCCCCCCATGAGGGTGGTTTCTCACTTTCTGTCTCTCTGTCTCTCCAGCAAGCACACGTACCTTGTAGTAAAAATCCCTGACCCCCCCAAAAAACTTAGAAGAACTAACGCCAGGCACATGTGCATGCATGCCCAAGATCCCAAGAGGAGAATGGAGACGGGATTATGGTGTGGCCATCCCCCCCAGGAGTGATTTCTCATTTTCTCTCTGTCACTGACAAGTGCATGTACCCTATAGCGAAAATATCTCTCTTAAAAAAAAAATGCATTTGCTAAAATCCTGTTGGGTGTACCTGTTTATCTGTCTATGGATGTCCTTCTCCCCCTCTTTGTTTTATTTACTCATGAAAAGGATAAACTGATAAATGATGTTAAAAAAAATGCATTTGATAATAACTCCCTGCCTACTTAAGCAGGTATATAGCGTCTTCCCACTGTTGCTCTTCATATTTCTTCTATTTAATCTATATTAAATAATTCTTCTGGTTCCAGGCTAAATTTACTGTGAAGAAATCAGAAGATGAAGAAGATGCCTCAAAAGACACTTATATTATTGAGTGCCAAGGAATTGGGATGACAAATCCACATCTGTAGAGTATTTCCCTCTTAAGTGATACCTATGTGTTATATTGCACTAATTCATAAATACTACAAATCGATCTGTAGGGAATAACTTATTAAAGGACTACAGTGTTCTAGATTTCCTGAGAATGCATCTTGAAATTAATCTCACTTTGAATATCTCTGAAATATGGACAATGAAATATAAAGAGATGGTAGATATGTATGATAGCTGATTTCAATATTAAAGCATTGAAATAAAATATTCTTAATACCTGGGGTAAGTGTGTTTCTTTTTAATGTAATAAGTCACATCAGGGATATAGATCTCCTCATATTTTGTGTATAATTCCAGTGTTTGCTGAACTTTGATCTAAAATATAAGGAGACTACTTTATGCAAATGTACTTGCTGTGTTAATAATAGCATTTATAAATAGGCATTGTCTTATTCTAATTATGTGTACTTTCGACCTAGCGGATACTTGTTTAAATATTTCTTGAATTTAAATCTCTTGAATATATTTTCAAAGCCAATTAGTGTTGCAAAATCTTAACTTTAATAGATTTAGCCAAATTTAGCTCCAGAAATGTTTTTGTTTGGCTTGTGTGATATTAAACAATAATTGAGTGCCTTTAGAGCGGAATGTGCTTTCATCAGTCCCTGTTATCTTACCCCCAGCCTGCTTCCACATTTAGATTGCTGGTCTCTGTAGGCTGTTGAGACTGTGACTCAGAGCAAATCAGTTTCATATATCTACTCAATATGCCATACTGAGATATAGGGAGAAACTTATTAAAACTTTGTTTATTTTAGATCTTATCCATTGATTATTGATTAGTAATTTCTCGCTTTCTGTTTCTCTGTCTTGCTAGCGAGCACACACACCCTATAGCAAAAGTCTCTAACAAATAAATAAATAATAGTCCAAGCTATAGATGCAGAGGATAGTATTCTAATACATTCAGAGAGCCCTAAATTCATCCAAATGGAATAGTATACTGAAAAAAAAATTGTTCCACATACATGGCCTTGGACAGATGAGTTGAATTTATTTTAAACGTGGGGCCAGCAGATGGCTTAGCAGTTACATCACTGAACTTCCATATGGCCGACTTTGGTTTGAGTCCCAGACCCAGTGGCTTGAAAATCACACCAGGCACATGTATGTGTGTGTCTGAGATCCTGAGAAGAGAATGGAAGAGAAGGGATTGCACCATGGTCATACCCCCAGTGGGTGCTTTCTCACTTCTCCCCTCACTATTTCTTTTTTGGGGGGAGAGTTTTTGCTATAGGGCACGTGCACTCGCCAGATAGACAGAGACAGAAAGTGAGAAATCACCCCCCGGGGGGATGGTCACACCACAATCCTTTCTCTCAGGATCTTGGGCACGCACGCACACGCGCCCGGCGTGAGTTTAAAGCCACCGGGTCCGGGACGCGAACTGTGGTCGACTACGTGGGAGTCCAGCGACATAGCCATTACACTAACTGCTGGTCCCCCACCCCACTATTTCTGTCTCTCTCTCTCTCTGGTGAGCGCACAAAATAAATAAATAAATAAATAAATAAATAAATAAATAAAATTTACTTTAAAGGTGATGAAGATGTTATTCCTTGCTATTTGTATATTCACAAATTGGGTATGTTTTATAAGATCATTTTAATAGCAGTTCAGATAGGACATCTTTCTTTTTTTAGAGTAAATACTGGTTGAGGGATTGCAGTAAATTTTAGGATCTTCAGACTGATGTAATTTTTGGTGCTTCTGATAGGGTGTGCCAGCATTGTTAAAGAGGTGGGTTGGAGTGCAGAGAATAGGAATTTGTGAGTGAGAAATTTGAGTTCAGCACTGTACACGGTGAGTTTATGATTAATCTTGGCCTAGGTATGTCAGTATTTCTGAGTCTCGGCTAAGGTAAAGCAAAGATTAGACTGCTGCAAATAAATTGCTGTTAAGTGCTACACGTGACTTGAATTTCTATTTTCTCAAAACAGAATACTATTCCTGTTCCTATTCTGTATCTGAAATTCTATTGCAATATGCTTGTTTGTTGTAGACCATCAATTTCAAGTAATTCTGTTTGACACTATGTACAACAGTCTTTAAGAATATTCCTTAGGGGCCGGCCCCATAGCCTAAAGATTAAGGCAGGTAGATCACACATGGCCAACCACGGGTCGACTCCTGGCCCCCAGTGGCTTTGGCCACAGGCGTGTGTGTGTGTTGGCATCCCCCAAGACCAGGGATGGAGAAATGAGGTGGGATTATGGTGTGACCATATCTGACTGGGGTCTACTTTCTCCCCAGCTATCTCTCAAGCACATGTACCCTCTGACAATGGAAAAAAAAAAAAAACTATTTAAATCAGTGACCACAAATGGTGTTCACACCATTGTAATTTCACAAAACCTTTCCATGAGTTTCAGGTTTGAAGACATCAGAAAGTTTTAGAGAGTTGGTTTCCAAATTTCTCTACTTATAATATGTTCTTCTAAAATTGAGCTAGTTGAAGTCAAGGTAGGGCTTTGCAGCTTCTCTTTCACAATCCCTCCTTCTCACAAAAGAAAAGTTCATTTTTTACCCATTATAATCTTGGCTATTGGTGTATTTCTCCATTGTACAAGAAAATCTTCAGGGACCAAATAAAGGGATGGTTTGGCTCTGAAAAGCCTACTCAAACTAAGATAGGAACCTGCATCTTAGTTGTCTGTTTGGGTGATTTTTTATTTTTTAAAGAAAATTTTGCTGTCGGGTGCATGCACTTGCGGAGAGAGAAAACAAAAGCAAGAAATCACCCCCTGGAGGCGGTAGCCACACCACAATCCCTTCTCTATTCTCTTAGAATTTGGGACATTTACATGCACCCACAGTGAGTTGTTTTTTTTTTTTTTTTTGGAGAGATGTTCACTGTAGGGCGCGTGAGCTTGCCAGACAGACAGAGAGAGACATAGAGACAGAAAGCGAGAAATCGAGAAATCACCCCCCAGGGGGGATGGGCCCGCCGCAATCCCTTCTCCTCCATTCTCCTCTCGGGATCTTGGGCACGCACGCACGCACACGCGCCCGGCGTGAGTTTTAAGCCACCGGGTCCAGGACACGAACCGCGGTCGACTACGTGGGAGTCCAGCGACATAGCCATTACGCTAACTGCTGGTTTCCCCCACAGTGAGTTTTAAGCCTTTGGGTCCAGGACTCTTACTGTGGTTGACTATGTGGGAAACCAGTGATGTACCCATTACGCTATCTGCTGCTCCCTGTTCTGTATTATTTTAAGCAATGAGGAGAACACTTCAGTATTTACTTCTGTTATGTCAATATTGTATCATTAAATGAAGTTTTAAAATTATTATTAGGAGAAACATCCAAAGGCAGTCAGAATGTTTAAATCCGGGGCCAGCAGGTGGTGGTGTGGCTAATGGTACTGGACTCCCACATAGTCGATTGTGATTTGAGTCCTAGACTTGGTGTCTTGCTTTCTCACTATTCCTCTCTTTCACTGGCCCTCTCTGGAAAAATCAAACTAAATAAAGTTAAATAAAATAATTATTTTAAATCTTTTTTTTTTCTTTAACTTAGTAAGCATTTTTTTAAAAATGTTTATTTTGGGGCCGGCAAGTGGTATGGTGGTTAAGGGTGCTAGACTCCCACATGGCTGACTGTGGTTGAGTCCCGGACCTGGCAGCATGCTTTCTCACTTTCTCTCTCTCTCTCACGCTGTCCCTCTCTGGTCAAATGACAGTACATAAATAAATAAAGTGAAATAAAATAATTCTTTAAAATATATTTATTTCTTCTATGAGCAACGGAGACAAAGAGACACACAGCACCCCAATAGGGATTTTTTTTTTTTATTTAGTTTTTGCTATAGCACATGTGTGCTTGTCAGAGAGAGACAGAGAAAGAGGGAAAGTGAGCAGTCACCACCTGGGTAGGGGGGACAGGGGATGGCCACACCATAATCACTTCTCTGTTTTCCTCTCTGGAGTTTGAGCATGCATACACCCATTGTCTGGCATTATTCTCAAGCCACCAAATCTGGGACTTGAACCGCAAAGCTGTCCATATAGGATCCAGCGCCTTAACTTCCATACCACTTGCTGGTCCCCCATAAGGTCTCGATGCTGCGACCCACATCCTAGCCTTTAGCCAGCCTGGGATTGGGGCAGAGGCATGCCTGGCATATTCCAGAAGCTCTCCAGACTTGAACTGTGGATCTTACCATGTGGATTGCTTCACAGAGTATCATGTGTTACCACTGTGCTACAATCTGACTCTTAAAATTCTTTTTAGGAAGTTGTGACCAAAAATATTTGAAGACAACTGTGTTCAGTTATGATGAGAAAGTGAAGTTGTTAATTGAATATCCTGGTTTTCTGGTTTTTTTTTTTTTTAAGATTTATTTTATTTTATTTATTTTTATTCTTCAATTTGACCTGAGACAGAGATAAAACAAGCCACCAGGTCCAGGACTCAAACTGCTGTCAGCCATGTAGGAGTCCAGCACCTTCACCACCACGCCACCTGCTGGGCCCCCTGCTTTTCTTATGTTTAGCCATAGTGCTGTCCAAGTAGAACTTTATAGTGATGAAAATGTACGGTAGTTTTCCTCTCCAGTAATAAACCCATTAGCCATATGTGGGCAGGAGGAGATTTTGCTAATGTAACTTCTAAAGTGTCTCTTTAGGGTGAACAGTTGTGAAAGCATTATTTTGGTGATCAATTGAGGCTTGAAAAGTGACTAGCATAACTGAGAAAATGAATTTTAAGGGACCAACAGTTAGCGTAATGTCTGTCGCTGGACTCCCATGTAGTCGACTGCGGTTCGAGTCCTGGACCCGGTGGCTTAAAACTCATGCTGGGCGTGTGTGCGTGTGTGCCCAAGATCCCCAGAGGAGAATGGAGGAGAAGGGATTGTGGCGTGGCCATCCCCCCTGGGGGGTGATTTCTCGCTTTCTGTCTCTTTTTCTCTCTATCTATCTATAGCAAAAACCTCTCCAAAAAAAAAAAAAAAACGAATTTTAATTTCACTGCATTTTAATTAACTGAAATAACTACATATGGCTAGTGGCTACTTTATTGGACAATGCAAGCTACAAAGTATCATGATCTTTGTCTTGATACTGTTTTTAGATTTTATGTCATCCTCTCTTACCATACTGAGAAGGAATATTTCAGGAAAATTATTCAGAGTAGATCTTGAGGGTTTGGGTGTTTCCATGTTAATAAGGCTTATTTTCCACTCACTCCCCAGGAGAAAACAGGATTGCCCTGAACAT